CCTGATTGGCCAAGAAATCCCACAAGATCCTCTGCAGCAAGTGATGGCCAAGCGGGGCGTGTCATCACAACTTTACACAAGTGTGTCTTTACCTCCATGGCAGAGGCTCCACCGAACCCCTGAGACCGGCTCATCGAACCCCTAGGGTTCGATCGAATCCAGGTTAAGAACCACTGGTTTAAAGAGTCTGGAAGGCTGCTTTAAAACAGAAACCATTCCTAAAGATATTGGCAATGGCTGCACTCCAACTGTATTCTACATAAAGCAATTTTGTTCAAAGTAAGATTGACTTCCTCCAAATAAGACTTTGGTCTGTTTCTAAAGCGCTCAGTGAAAACGTAACGCTCCAAGAGTTCAGGCCATGATGATTTCTGGTTACGCCAAAAAGCAACAAATGGTGTGCTAACAAAAATCGACTTCAGAAAAAATAAAAAGAACACTCGGCCACTCATCACTGGCGAGCCGTGCATGGAGAACATACCAGTGTTCATGTTTCTGCGCATAGAGCTGGAGGACCACCTGGAGTATAAACATTAAAGAGTTAGTAAAGAAGGCACATTTTTTTTTGGAATCCCCAGGAAATAAACATCTTCCAAAAAACCCTGCTCCTCTCCTTCTACCACTGCTCCAATGAGAGCGTACTCATCCAGACTGTGAGTGTGGTACGGCAGCTGCACCTCCTCAGAGAGGGAAGCGCTCCACGCGGTCAACAGGTCAGGCTGCCCCCTCCCCACTCTGGAACAAATGTGCACCTCCTGATGTCACCAAAGACAGTTCACAGGCTCATCACACCCCGATCTCTTCTAGCTGTTACAGAAAAGAAGGCTTGTTGATGAAAACATGGGCCAAAACCCCACTCCATCGTTTCAAGATTGCAGGCGTGTGATCCAAGTGTCACCTGGGATGGTCATGCAACATGGTCTGTTTCCTTATCACCTCGTCGTTGATGTTTATAACAACTTTCATCCACAGAGACCAACATCAGATCGATCTGCAGAGTTTGAACAAAGGGCCGAATGGAACCAAGCACTGAACCCGCCTCCTGCTGCAGGTCAGGGGAACGTGGGTATAAACTGTTGTCCCACAGGTTGGACAGTTCCAGTGGACTGGGTTAAAGGTTGGCCTGCTGCGAGCTGGAATGTGAACACAAGTCCCTCTTACTACACCACCTCCGGCCTTACTGGAGCCACTGACGCCATTACTCACAGAACTGTCAACTTCACCCAATCAGAGGAGACCACTAAAAGAAAACATGTTGTAACTAGTTGAAATCTGAGTATCCTCTCCTCAAACAAAGAAAAGAGGAGGAGAATGAATGTGTGTTTAAAATGAATATGCATAATTACAGGAGTCTATAAAAATCACAGGCACTCCCACAAAGAAAAGCTTTTGGGGCTTTTATTGGGTGACTTTTGCAAGGGTGGCTACGGCTTGTCTCTCCTGTTGCCCTTGGGTCATGCTGGTCCAGGGGTGTCGGGAGGGTTTGAAGCACTAACATTTATTTTATTTCTCTATTTGAGCAAAAGGTGTGAATCAGGGCCCCAAAAATACCAACACAAAGAAGGAATGAGGGAAAAAAACAAGGGGACCTTCAACCCCCGCTTGCATTCACTACATTCGCATAACACGACACGGGTCAGGAGATGGGGCACATGACCCTCTATGAACAATAGAGCTAATCAAGCCTATTGTTAGGCTGATGGCCCTCTTTTTGCATATGACTAACCTGTTGGTCCACCATGTGGAGGCAGTGCTTAT